AAAATTTTATATTTCTGCACAGGTTAATTACGCTTACTTTACAATTTCAATTGTAACTTTTTAAATTTCCTGCCGTCGTCCGCCCACTTGGGAGCTACACAAATACTTTTTCAATAGACATTATAATGGCATCCAGATAAGAGGAACTCCGTTCTGTTTGTTTGTTTAGCTCTTGACAAATATGTTCTGCGAGCATTGTTTCGTTGTCTCAGGCTTGATTTGTGGCTAGGAAAGTTTGTTATCTGCGGCCGAGCATCATCATCGGCATCATCATAATTTCGGCTCCTCGCTTATCGAACGCCAAAAAGTTCGAGCATAATGTATAAAACACTTCAGTATTTGCTCATAGTTTTTGTCCTGCACAAGCGAACCTTGGCCAACGAACTTTTGCGCCATTCCAGACTCGGATGCGACTGAAGCTGATGATGCTGTTGTCAAGTTGGCTGTTGTTTGTTCGCTTTGTCGGTTTAAATAAGAGTATTGTGTAAATATTAAGCAAACGCCATTCGTTTATGCGGCATGAGTTATTCAAACGGAAGTAAATGTTGCCTCCATTCTAGCCATTTAGCCAGTTTGCTTTGCAGCGAGGCCACAAATTGCATTTCCTGCGCGTTGGCTGGCAAATGCAATTGCTAATTTCAAATATGTATTTATTACGGGCCTGTGGATTTATCAGCACTAATAGCGGCGCCTATAACAGCAATACAATGCCAAACATGGTCGAGCCTTAAACACATCATAAGCTCGTAATCCGCAAAAGTACCGCAGATAGCGCCAATGGGCCATTGGGGCCTCGGCTGATATTCTGCGGCGTCAACAACTGCGAAGTGAACCCATCGGGGAACGCCTGCCACGATGCCTGCCATCCATGCCGCATTCTCAATGCAAATGCTCTTGATAATGATTTGCATTTACAGCCAGAGCCAACAGTACCAACCCACAATTTGCACCATGCACGCACAGCGTCCAACTTCCAACTGGCATTGATAGTTGAAAGCCACCTGGCATGCTGGGCTGCCTCTCGTCCTGTTGGCTCGGCTGATGAGGCTAATGCCAAACGAATTAGATTCGGTGAGTGTCATTTATCTTCTTCAACTTTAAGCGTTTCGCATGCAATACGATAAAGAGGCTCATACTTTTACTACAGCAACTCATCAGTAAGGCGGCCACCATAGGCACCGCGTTGTTTCCTAATCTCTTAAAGTTGTCTAGTGGCATTAAGCATTCAATAGGACTCAAATGATATTTCAACTTTAAATCTTCAGGCCTTAAATAGCGCTACAATCAAATTAGACAAATTTTGGACCACAAAATATTACAATTAATACTTTAATAAAATTTGTTAACAATTAGTGCAGACTTTTCAGCTGGGCATTGACATTCAGTAAATCAAGTTTGTGTGCTGAGTATATAGGAGTATACGTGGCCGATTTCAATTTGAGTAAAGTCATAAAGGATTATTTCGAAATACTTTACAGAAAATACTTACATAAAAATAATCCTAGTAGCAGGTGCACAGAGTTTTGCTTACAAATTAAAAAATTATTGAAAGCTTCAAACCAATTGCCATGAATCACAAAAGAATACTGCCTGAAAATTTAGAGATCTTTGTAAAAAAGATAGTTTGAAAAAAAATGAGTATAGCTCAAAACTCACTTTAATTTGTTAATTTACGTAAACGCTATTATTGAATTATTTATTGTAGCACAGATCTTTAGATAGATAATTATCGAGTCTACCAGATTGTATAGTTTAAAATTTGAAGAGCTAACTTAACTTAACTCATATACTATGGATCCAAAGAATATATATAAAAATCATGATAGAAGTTGTTCAAAGATAAATATAGTTCGCTCTGGTCAAGCTGAGATACTCAAAAGTTATGTCCATGTTGATGTTACAATCACAAAAGGCTACTATCGAAATATGCAAATAACTCTCAACTTTTGAAATCTAATTGCTATGTATTTAGGCACAATTTGAAATATATAGCATGTAAAGAGGGAGAGACGACAGATTTAAAAGACAAAACGAATTCATCAGATGCCGGCAAAGTCGATAAAAAAAAACAAATATATTTAGTGCCGACATTTATTTGAACTAATTGAAACTCATTTTGCTTGTTTTGCTTAGTTTTCTTATTCAATTAGCTAAAGTTTTTTACTTTTGGCTCTTTCTGAACTTAAGGCCACATTCAACAGCATTGGTGTAGAGCTGAAATGCCGTTTATTTATTTACTTTAGACGTTTAGGACTTTGGGCTTGAACACGCTTATTTACTGTTTGCCGAAATGCGAAACCGCAAACACAACGAAAGCCCAGAGTCGAAGCAAAACACTCCAAAGGCAGGCAGCACCGCAAGCCGCCTTCTCCTGCAGCAGCCAAACAAAACATGCGAAACTGTGGAGTGGTTGGGCGCTTGCATGCGGAAAAGTTAAACCAGAAATACTTTACCCAACTTAAATGCCTTTCAGGCAGACCACACAGAAGCGGAATGAGACGCACTGGACGTCAAACAGCGGAAGGCGTAAAGCAGAGAAAAGGCCGTCTCTTAGACGAGGAGCCAAAAAATATGTAAAAAGGCGCCCGTTCATAGCAAAAAGCCAAAGTGAGATGAGCAGAGAGGGCATTGGGGGGAAGTGTGGCATGTTGTCCACACAGAGACAGGGACAGAGACATGCCCACCCTCCTCCACGGACAGAAGCTGAATCGGGCTGCTGCTGCTGGCCAGTACGAAGTTAGCCTCGATGTTAACACAATTAAAGGGGAGGCAGCTGGAAGTGGTGCTCGATGACCGACAAGTCAGTGCAGGATGTCATTTTGTGCACTTGCCTTTCGCTTCCTATGTGTTTTTAAGTCATTATTTTTCATCATCTTTCAGCTTTTTGCTCAGCTAGCAAAAAGAGGCAAGTCACGCCGGGCATTTTCCCAGCTTTTCTTATCCAAATATTGAGAAAAAAATTCTTCCTCCAGAGCAGCGCACAAAAATAGAAAGGAGCAGAAACAAAACAAGGCAAACAACAGAAAAAAAGAAAAGCTCCAACTGTATCATATTTTATAAAATTCTTTGGAAGTCACTTAAATTGTCCTTGCAAAATATCTGGTGTTGTCCTGGGCTAAATTTATTCGTGTAATTTGATTGCAACACAAAGGACAACAGCAAATTTTATTGCACAGCTAATGTAAACGCAATTCTTGTTGAAACAGAAATAATTACAGTAAGAATAACTCAGATATCAGCTGGCTTTAAAGTGAACTTTAACATTTATCAGAAGCCAACGACAACGGCGAGACTTCCCTTTGCCATGTTTATCTTTTGCTTTACTCTTCTATAAAATTTTAAAAACACATTGAACCATCATTGCATTAAATTGTAAATTGTCTTATAAATACCAAACATTGGCGTTTTATGTTATATAAAAGGTTTCAAGTAAAAATTAAAACCGCTTAATAAGCCAAGCAACAAGCACTGAAACCACTGCCAGACACATTGCCTTTTTACCAATCTAAAAAGTAATTATGGTAAATATAAATAGGATTTTCGCCAGCTTGAAGGGTGTTCTATTCACTTTCGTATACAGTGGGCGACTTAGCATGTACTTAACATGCACTTGGGCATGTGCTTTTTGGTGTCTGCTGCAAACTGCAAGCAACGCGTTAACCTGTTTCATCTGACTTGGCTTTTAAGGCCATAATGGTTGGCTTTGTCCGCACTCTTCACTTACCCAAACACTTGCTCGTGCCCAGCAGTCTGCGCTGTCCTTGCTGTCAGTCACTCCGTCGTCAGCTTCGTGTATAACGCGAAAAATATTTACTGCCTCTGGATGTTTCTTTTACTTCTTTTTTTCCTTCCAATGCTTTTTTTCTGGAAATTACCCCTATTCTCTCTCTCTCTTTCTCTCTCTCTCTCTGCATCTTGCTGAACAAATTTTACGTGCTGTTTTCCCATTTGCCCTTTCTCCTTCTCTCCCTCTATATCTATCTGTGTCTCCTTGTACCCTTGCTTTGTGGCTAACTGAGATGTGATTTCCGCTGCAATAAAATAGAGCGTCTACCTTAAAGGCTTTATGGCCCCGTTTTGTCGCCGACTGGAATTCGTCATTTTATGGTCTTGTGGGTTCCTTTTCTGCTTCTTTCTTTCTACGTGTTTTTTTATTTTGTTTTTTTTTTTATGAACTCTTCTTTGCACTTTTTAGTTGGGTTAGGTTTTCAGAGACCCAAAAAATATTACCATAAAATATTAAATCATTTCTGCGCATCCTTTGAGTGAAGGACACCAAACTGCTTTTATGCCTGTTTCGAATGATGCGAATTTGTGCTCTCCATTGTGATAAGTATCCATTTATCATACACATTTCGACCAGCAGGGATTAGAGAGAGGCATCAATACAGAAATATAGACCCAAAAGCTTACAGTTAAACCTGGATAGGCGGGGAAACATCATCGTTTTGGAGACTTAGTTTTAAACGCTTGACTAAGGAAAATTCAACTTAATTTTTCAGCTGAAATATTTGAAAACTTAAAAAATGATTTAAAAACAATATTTAGATTGGATTTTGATTGCTCAATGTGACTAAAGAGAAAGTCTGCAAATATAAAATGCGTTTGCCTTCTTTGACATGAATTAAATTTTATTTCTATTTTTTATTTATTATTCAGATTTAAGTTTAGCTGACAATAATCTAATTATTGATCTGTTTCACAACTGTAAATGGCAACAACTCTCGCTCTTGCTCTCTCTCGCTCTCTCTTTCTCTCTCTCTCCCTCTCTCTCTCTGTTTCTTTGATTCAGAATTTCATTTGATTTGTCTTAGGTGTAGCATTTATTTATATTAATCGTATATTGTTAATAATATTTATACAACACACAGAGAAAGGTGCTAACATTTGACTTAATTATAGAAAGTTTTACCTTCTCCTCAGACTAGCTGCCCCCATTGCCCCTTTGCCTCTTTCTGCCGCTGCTATTTACAATGACATCTTTAATTAATCTCTAACCTAAATTACATAACTGCAGAGCGCGCAAAAGCTTACAAATAATTGAAGTCCGGCCTGGCTGTTCAATAAACGAGTCACGTTACAAGTCACGTCCCCTGACGCCTGCCTAGTCCTGGCAGGACCTTCAGCGCATCCACGAACAGCAACAGCAGCGGCGACGCCAACAGCAATCGGAACGTGCTGCGCTCAGCTGCGCCGGACATGATAGCCGATGCGGAGTATTCACCTGTTGGCAAAAGAGATGTGCGGGTGAGTGTGTGGGTGTGTGTGGGCGTGTGAGGGTGTGACAGTTGCAATTAATATGAATCATTTAACTCGCTGACAAAATAATTCACACGCACTCGCCATCGTTCACGTCACAGAAGCTACTACTCTCTACATATATACGTTTATATATATCTTTCACTATCAATACGTGTATAGGCGAAAGAATTTATGTGAAGGACTCACCGCTGAGGACGTGCAGGTCAACAGAGACGGACACGCTGTTCGATGGCTGGCACGTATAGTTGCCGGAGTCCTCTTTACGCACAAACGGTATAATTAATGAGCCGATCTGTAATTAATGCGGGCATTATTATTTCAGCTTCGGGCACTGTCTACTACAAAGTCAAATTTTATATATTTCATAATTCAATTAGCAGTTCCATTGCCTTGCTGTACAGTGTAACTGCACCTACCGTATTCTGATTGTCCCCGACTGTACCGAATATGTTGCGATCTATTTGCGTATACCAGCCCGTGCGCTCGTCGCTCTCGCTTATCTTCTTCTGTCCGCGAAACCAGATGATATACTTGGGTGGATCGAGAGTGCCACGCACGATGCAGTGCAGGGCTACCTTGCTGCCCGCCTTGACGAAGCGACTCTGATCGCCAATCAACTCAGTCTTGGGTGCTGCAAAGCAGAGCAATTAATATTAGGATATGGGAAGGGGCTTTCTGCTGCTTACTGATCACTTCCAGATAGACCTTAGCGCTCAGCTTGGGCTCGGTGGCCATTTGACACTCGTACCAGCCGGCATCGCTGGCAGCCACATACTTGATCTGCAGCGACCAGGTGTAGTCATTGTCCTCCTGGTATATCGACTGGAAACGCTCGTCTGCTATGAACGTGGTCTCATCCACGCTGATTATGTGACCATCCAGTAAGCGCACCCACGACACGGGCTTCTCCGATAGGCGATGGATCTGGAAATTGATACAAAGAATGCAAGAGGAGCTAAACAACATATCTGATTGAAGAAATATATATCTATATATATATAGACAGACAGAAGGATAAGCAAGACGACGAATGTTGAGAGATAATGGACTTTAGGGAATTAAGCTTGTCTCCTCTTGTGGCGAAGCTTTAAGAGATCTACCTCAAATCAATTCCTTTCTAACAAAGCACGGGTGAGATCTCCCTTTAACCGGGACTCAGGAACAACAAGGCACTATTTGCATATTGTGAACAACAACGGAGAGAGCGAGAAAGCAATCGACCTCGACACAAAGACGGGAAGAGAAGCATACTTATTTGCATACATACATTCCAATTGTATCCAAAACCAACAACAGCAGCAAAAAAACACGATGAAGAAGAAGCAGAAGAAACTATTATAAGAGGCCTCAAATTTACATTTACATGAGTGGAGGTGCCTGTGTGTGAGTTCCTTTAAAAAGCAGCCAAGAATAGAGAGCGGGCTGCAAAAAATAAGTGGTAGAAGGCAAATAGTTGTCGCTGAGAGGTTGCTTGCCTTGTTTGCGTCATAAAAATAAACGTAAACAAAATAAATTTGTTGATATGCAAATGAAATTATGCTGATCTGTGCGCAAAGTTTTTGCCCAGCAGACACCAGAGAGCAGCCAGCAGAAAGCAGACATCAGAAAGCCCGAGGCGTAGGGTAAACGAGCTGTGGACTGCCCTCGGCAAGCGGAAAGGCGAAACGGAAAACCAAAGCAAAATAGCCAAGCAACCAGATATTATCCAGAGCGAGCGGGCTGAAAAGGCTATTATTATACCTTAAGTTGGACACTGGGCAAGATATCATTAATTTGGTTCGGCTTCCCAATTGATGTTTGGATGCGATACAAGCAACAAGCAAACTGACGAAGAGTATGTGTGAGTGTTGGGCAAATATGTTAGCCCAAACAAACTACTGGAATTTGTGGGCATGACAATGGTAACGGATGACATATTGGCAAGAAATCGAGTTACAATCTAAGCTACTTCCAGTTATTCCTTTAGCATAATAAGAACGTGTAACAAGAGAAAATGCCTTAAGACATGACGAAACAAGCAATGTTTTAAGATGCTGAAAGTAAAAAAGTTGTTTGAATGCAGCTAAATAGACGCAAATTAAGGAATATTCTTGCAAAGACGAAAATATTTTTAGATAAAACATAAACGAAGGATAGAGAAGATGAAGTGCGCTGTGCGAATGTCTATTCGTGTTCATAATATTTTAAAGCTTGAAATATATACTAATATGTGTAATTAACAGAAAATACTTTAGATATAAGGAATCAAGTTTTAAGCTAATAAAAATAAATAAAAAGCTAAATATAAATAATAAAATCAAAAAATTAGTAGCTTAAATTTTTCATTAAGTTTACGATTTTGCTTTCCAGTCTATACATATGTAAAACTAAACACAGAGAGAGGTAAACCCACAAACACACACACACACAGATAGAGAGGTACACACACAAACACTCACACTTGACATACATCTCTTAGCCGTTGGCAATGAATGTCAGTGCTTGGGTTAGGGATTAGGTCCGGGCCTGGGGTTTGTCAGCGTTGTCGCCAGCACTCACCTGACATGGCATGTACGCGTGATTTCCCATTTGAGCCGTGATGTTTAGCACGGGCATTGTCAGATTTCTGCGCGGCTGCTGGCCTGGCAGCAGTTGCCCGTTGTGGGAGGCCAGATACGAATGCTGCTCATTAAACATTTGTTGCCGCTGCTGCTCTGGTGACAATGTTACAGTCTCCGCTGCAGCTGTGGATGCTGCTGCTGCGGCGGCCGCGGCGGCTGCTGCTTCAGCTGCAGCAGCGGCGGCGGCAGCAGCTCGGTAAGCTGGCAAATCTGCGGCCGCGAACACGGGAAACGGCGGCAAAAATGTGGGTATGGAGAAACCTTTAGTCAGTGATTCAGCGTTGGCCGGATGAGGATGCTGCAACACCACATTTTCCTCAGCCTCCGCCTCTGCCTCCGCCTCCGCCTCCACATCCTCATCCCCATCCTTCTCCGTTGGCCGTGACGTTGCTGTTTCAATGGAGTTGCGGGCTTCCGTTTCCGTCAAGCTTGGCACAGCCGTCGCGAGCTCTGTTGTTGATGTCGGATAAATTGTTGATATGAACAGCGTTGGCATCGCCGTCGCCATCGCTGACATTGTCGTTGTCGTTGTCGTTGTCGTTGTCGAATCGGTTGTTGTTTGTATTTCGGCCGTCGTTGCGGGCTGCGTAGTTAGCCCAATTTGTGCGGACTTAGTTGCTGCTACAGCTACAGCTCCTCTTGGCAGCCTCCCAGTCGCATTCCTTGTTATCGTTGGTGCTGTTGATGACATTGCCAGGGTCGTGCTCCAGTAGCCAGTTGTAGTTCTTGTTGTGGTCGGTGTTGTTGTTGTGGTTGGCTTTTTCGCTGTCAGTAATGCTGTTGAGTTTGGGTCTGTCGTAATTAGATCGTTTTGTGTTGTCATTGGGCTATCTGGCCAAGTGGATCTCGGGTAAGTCGTTAGCTGGGGCACTGCGGCAATCCTCGGCTGCTCGTAGGCTGAGCTGCAGGTGACAAGGTCTGTGGATAAAACACCAAAACACACATATAGAAGTACTCCATTTAGGTAAATTGCTGCAGCTGTGATGAAGACATTGATAAGAATACTTTCATAACTTGACAGAATTTAAGAATAAAATACTTAAAGCCAGAGGCTTATTTAAACTGCAGATATTATTAAAAAAATAGCGAATATTGAGCTGAAACACACTCGGTTTCAGATGCATTCAGGCTGAGCTTTAAAAGCTTGTAATTAAGTAAAATATTAAATAACAAATTATTAGAGAGATGGAAGCAATCAAAACGCTTCGCAACAAACAATATCAAATTGCAAGTGTTTTCATAGCTTTGAATACATATTTGCATAATCTGTAACTGATACTTAGCTGCAGCTATTGACATATTTACTGAGGCCAACAAATTCGATTGAGTTTTGTAATCTGAAATAAATACAAATATGCCCCGAATCCTAAATAAATAAATGGAGCGTGCGATGGGACTGCAATCAAAATTGAAATGTCTGCCACAGGTATATCAAAAGTGAGCGAAAAGCGAAATAATTATGAGATGTTAACTCAGGCCAAAATGCGTCCGCACTGACTTTTGTGATTTATGTGTGTTTGGGTGTAGAACTTTATAAGTCAGTGTAGAGCCATCTCATTTGCTGGCTTTGCTTATATTTCGTTTCAGTTAATTTTCAATTACGCTTTTATGCTAATTAAAATCGTCAAAAAAATGTTGCAGCTTTTCAGTTGGTTTTAATTTCGCGCAGCAGTTGGTGGGGCAGGTGCACGGGTGGCCGGGTGGTGCCATTGAAAACTTTTTGCTTTCGCGGGCTCCAGCCTCTTAAAAGAACACACAGTACTTATACTTAAAAATAATACAAAAAAAGAAACGTTTTCATATGTTGAGTATAAAGTTGCGAGTCGCTTATAAATATTGCAAATGTTCGCTCTTTGCAACAATAGCTAAAAGTGGCTCTTAAAATGTATTAAAAATTTATAAATATGCTTAATGCTTTAGCAACACGGCATGCAAATTGAATTTTGCATTCTGCTTGTAGTTTTATTATTTGATTACGTATGCATATTTACTAAGAAGTCTTTAAAGAAATCAATGGCAACGAAAACTTTGCAGAAACTATATTAAAAGATTACGGTCTAATCACTGCGTCTGTGTGTTTGTGTGTGCAACAGTTTTGCCAGTGATTAGGTTGCCATACATCTCAACTTTGCGCCGGCAAAAGTTGCTGTCACGACCCACTAAAGGACTTGTCGCCTCCGGGTCAATAGGCAACCAGCCGCAGCCGCTGAGCATAAAAAAAAAAGAAAAATGATGAGGGCGTGAACTAAGAACTCAGAACTCAACGCCATTCATGTGGAAAGTTTTAGCAGTCGCCTCCCACACGAATTGAACTGCGACGATGAATCCAAAAACAGTTTGGAACAAGTTACATGCGATTTGGTTCTTTATTCCTGCCACTGCTGCAGACTTCTTAAGTTTCTTCTTGGCTTTTCTTTCAGCTTTGTATTACAAAACGATTAATTTGAATGAGACTTGACTGGAGATGTGATTTGTCATTTCTTTAACTAGTTGATGAACTTGTTTAATTGAGTTAATGTGTCTCATTCTTTAAATTTAACAAATAATTAACTTAATCTTGGCCAATACGCAGCAAGGGTCAAAGCCGAACAGCAAAATTGTTGGCCAGCCCGCAACTGGGCCAAAAATCAGATGTCTAGCCTGGGATTTGAGCTGATTGCAGGTTTTTGCTTAGATTTCAAAGGGCCGATAGCAAGCAAAAAATTTGCATTTTTAAATTATTTCATTTCACGTTCTTGTCAGCCCTTGATAAAGGTACAATTTCTATCCCATTTTTTCGCTTTCGTTTTTTCAAGTTTTCAGTTTTTCGAAAAGCGCAAAAAACCGCATAAATTTTGCCACGAATCGGACGAATGTGAATGTGAATGTGAATGCGTGTGCGTGAGATTTGGGAGTGCTGATAAGGTCTCGGGTTAAAATGTAAAAAGGTAAATGGCCACCTGGACCCACAAAAAAATCTGCGAGTGCCGAAGCTCAAATGTGAAGCGCCGTAAAAATGCAAATTGAAAGCGAAACGAAACGAAATAGTAAATTTAAGAGCTACAACCGCCACAAGCGCCCGGTCTTCTTTCCGGCCATTACTCAGCTTCTGGCCAATTGGAATGCAGTTTTTTGCATGGCTCTGTTTGTGGAAAATGTATCCTTAAGGTTACCTTTGCTTGAGTTTTCAATTAAATCGGCTTAGGTACAATAAGCCGATACTCGACTGCGCAATACAAAGGGCATTCGAATCGAAAAAATACTTTCAATCTTGACAAAACTGAGTTTCGCTTTGTTTACTTTGGGTGCTAAGCCGATTAATTTACTGACCACAACAACACAAGGGCGTGTGCGTGTGAATCCTGTTACGAAAGGACCTCGTATGAAGTGTGATCTCAACAGCTATTGCACTCGGCGACAAAATGGCGACAGCAGCCAACACACGCCACGACACGCCCCACAGCCACAGCCACAATTGCTAGGCTAACATAAACAAATGCGAAGGAGCTGCCAGCAGGCAGGAAGACACTGCGTGGGCCAGGACATGTAAGCGAAACGTGCAATAACACTTAAATTGTTTTTGTTGTGTTTGCGGCCATCTACTTGGAATTGCCCGTCAGCGTGGTAAGTGGCTCAGCTCCCCGTGCCCCTCGGCTGAGTCCAGTTCATAGTTGCGTTGAAGTCCTCGCAGTTGGCACCGCATTCCCGGAATCTCATAATTCAAGCGTGTTACCAAAATGAACAACCGCTGAGCCTCCACTCACCTCGTCTCTGCCAATCTGTACGCAAACTGAATAGTAATGCGCTTAAATGAGGCCTCGAATTACTCAAATTAGGTTTGTTGCGTTCAAACGATGCAACGGGCGCCAGAGCCCAAAGCACCCACACACGCACAGCCATATTGATTGCGTGTATATGGAAATTTAAATTTCTGCACAGACAACATAATAGCTGGCTCATCAGCAACAGTGGGCTAGACGGTTTGCAAAAGGAAAATCGTCACAGCAGAATAAATATAAAAGAAAATGCTTCAGCTGTTGCAGCTCAATATATTGACTCAATATATTGATTTTTGAAATTTGATGAAGTCGCAGCATTTTGCTCCACTGTTCACATAACTGTTTTACAGCAGACAGTAAAAGCCCTTTTACTTCTTTTGCATTCCATATGTTGCTTTTAACCTTTTAGCCAAGCACCTCATAAAATTTACGAAGCAAACACTGGGCTGACTGAAGTGTTTTGCATAGAGAATGCATGTAAGTCTATTATTATGGATGAAATAAGCCAATATTTGAATGCTCGATAAATAATAAAACAAAAAACCTAGATACAAGGCCTAAGCATAGAATAAGTAGTTAGCCAGCAGCAAGCTCAGATGAGCGAGCTACAACAGCCCAAGTCGAGCTCAGTGAGCTGCAGCAGCTTCTGAGGAACTGCTCTGAGGATCTTACCACTGCTGGGGAAGGCTCAGTGCGACTCGAAGGATCAGATGTATGAAGTGCAGCACTTTCTGAAGATTCTTATATAATAACTTATGTCTATTGCCATGCTTTCCCTTAGGTCTTGATGCCAATTGGACGCCAGCAGCAGGCGGCCGTCAATGCCATGAGCAAACATTAAGATCTCGAACTGAAAACATTTTAATTTAAATAATATTCATAGCATGACAAGATAAATATCGTGTAATGAAATGAATACAAAGCTTCATAATCCGTATCAAAATCCCGCTCTTAATTACACGCAAGTAACAGGAGTTCACATGTGCAGCATTCGCTCTGGCACGCCCACTCCCGCCCTCTCTCGCCCTGTGGCCCGTTAAAGGTCAATGGATTAATTATGATTTCATGCTTAACAGCATTTTGTTGGCCATTTGATGCGTGTACACGTACATCATTAGCGGAGTATCAAAACTGGCAACAACTTTTGGCCAAACGGCAGGCGCAACTTTTTTGATGGGCTGCTCTGCCGCCGCTGCTGCTGCTGGGAAAGAGCGACTCGTAATTATAAAAAATATGCGTCTGTAATTTGGAAGCGCCCAGGGCCAAAAGTAATTACATATCCAATAAAAAGTCATGGCAGCAGGATGCGTAGCTAGCAGCGCTCATAATTAAAAACCCAACGACTAAACACTCTACAATCTGGCCAGCAAACCACTAGCCACCGCACCCGCCACCCCAGCCGCCGCCTGGTGTCTATGCAAAGACACACTCGCTGCGGCTTAAGGAAGCCAAATGGAAGCTTCATCAGCCAGCCATGACCACGGCTTACGATATGGTCCAGGCAGGCTGCGGCATTAAACACCAACACACACACACACATAAAAGCAAAACTTTCCACTGGGGAGTACTTTGGCTTATGGGCGCCTCGAGTGCGCATAAAACACGCGCCAGCAGATTGCTGAAGGCGCTTGGATTAGCTGCCAGAACCGAAGCCCCTAACCCGACCCAACCCAACCCATGCTCACTGAGTTAAGATAGTTGGCTAAGCGTCTATTTGTTGACAATTCTCTTAACTTGTTCTTTTTGTTTCTGCGGTTGTGACTGCGATTGCTGTGCGCAGCCATGGTTAATGGATGTCCTTGGGGTCCTCTTGCAAAGCGATTGTAAAATCGACTAAAACCTTAAACTAAACAACTCATCTTTAAAATGGAGTTGTTCTTTAATTCTTTTCAAGAAAGTTTTTATATTTTTAATTTCTGAGACTAGCCATTACCTTAGACTTTATAAGCCGACTTACCTACACATTTGTTTAGATCTATGTTTGCCTGAGCTCTGTCTAAGTGCAATTAAACTTCTCAGCCTTAACGAACTTTGGACCAAGCAGCTAAACTTCTGAGCCTAACTTTTGACCAAACTTTTCAACCGAACCGAAATTTAGAATGGCGTATTAACCTATTCTAACTTTGAATTAGTCTGTTAAACACAAATTGACTTATTTGTGAGAGTTACAAGTCTTGACTGCTGCATTCTAAAAGCTTGCTAATCCAAGTGAACTTTAGATTTTGAGCTAAACCGGCTTCTACCATTGTTACCTTTGTTTATTCACATGATTGGCATAACTCTTTGGGTATGCAGTGCTGGCATGTCAAATCAATTTACAGTTATCGTCAAGCTGTTGTCAAGTGTTTAACCACCTGCTATTTATGATTTACAACGCACTTATTCTAGATGAATTGAAATGGCATTTGGCATTTGGCATTTGATGAGATGCGCAAAAATATTTGGCATAAATATTTAAAACTCGTGCTCGGAAATGCTTATAAATCGATCAATAGGCAATTACGCCCGCCTTTTTCCGCCTACAAATAAATAAATAAACATATTTGCCCGAGTGGAGCAAGGGCAGCCATAACATTAAATAGCAAATTGTACTTATATCTATGGCTAAGCAAATACAAAATTCTGACTACGCATGAAACACACATTTGCATGAGTGTGTGTAAGTGGGTGGCCCATTGGGTGGCTGCAGCTGCTGGGGAATGTTGTGTTTAGTGAAAATTGCTTCAACAATTTTCTTGTAGTCATTCAGAGTGAAACATATGTTGGGTGTCACAGTTAAAATATGTATATACGATATGCCAACACACAAATAGCGGCAACAGCCGCGCGTTGGCCTGGGTCGAAATTCAATAGCAGGCAAACAACTCGAACAGTCAGTCGACTTGACGCCTACTTCGGGCTCGCCCCCTTTCCCTCTGACTGTCTCTTTTACTCTCTTTGTTTTTATGCAGTGCTCTTGCCTTTTGGTTTGGGACTGGCTCAATTTATTTTTATGGCATCATGTTTGGTCGCTACGTGTGGCAAAGAAGGACTCTCCATTTTTTCGCCTTTGCCTTTGGCGTCTGTTTCAGCTGCGTAAATTGAAACTGGAGCATTGCCCGGCATCCCGTTACGTATACGCACCGTACTCGTGCGCGTACTTTACCACGTTCTTATTAATGTGTCTAACAGCAGTTGTATTGCCGGAGACAGTCTGATTCTCGCTTCACTCCTACATCAAAGGCTCAACATATTATATCAAAGCACTGCGAGGCATTGACGTCATACTTCAAATGGCAAAACACACAACAAATCTGAATATCTCGTATTCTGCTGTATAAGGTGCAAAAGGTCTGAGGCGATACGCGTTACGCGATACTTCTGCGAAGCACAAGCGCGTCAGATATAAAATGATATTTGATGTATAAAAATAACTCTAAACTCAAATCAACATTAACTTCTCACAGCTTCACAGCTTTGTACCTCACAAATATAGTTTGGTCGAAGAAATATTTTGTATCTTTAGTTGTATTTTATATCTTTGAGGTAACATCCCACAGGTAAACTGTGCAACTTATGGTTGATGTATCCCATTTTAAATAGGTCAACCAAATGAAAGCGAATTAAATGCGGAAATCAACTCACAGAGCACGTCGCAAAGCGACTGATTATAATTGAAAATCAAAACCGAGTTCAAGCAAAATTCTGCTAACCACATTAATATTGAGGTTATTTGCATTTTGGCTTTGATTATGCGAAAGGTTGCGCAATGAACTGCGCACATTTCAACGTTGTTGATTTTGTTTTGTTATTGCAAAAGATTGAGTGAATCAGAGCGAATTCTTTCTGGCTGCCCTCTGCGTACAACTCCCAAGTGGATGCGTATAAATCAAGCAAAATAATTATGCGAATCTGCAGGACATTCCATTATCTGTGTTTTGGGCTCTTCCGCAATGCTTTTTATCGCGCCGCTCGCTTTTATTGCCGTTTACCAAACGCTGACCCGCGCACCCGCCCACCGACACACTCAGCACTCAGACCGCCGCCCACGACCGCACTCACCGCCACCGCTACAGGGGAGTGCCCTGTCCAACAAATGCTGCTGCCGCCGTCGGCACAGCTCATAAATAAGTTCCAACGTCGCCAAAACAAAACATTTTTCATCTGCCTCTCGGCCGAACACGGCTGTCGGTCCTCATCCGTCGTCGTCTGTCGGCATGTGCTCTGGGAATATTTCATAAATTTCGACGCTAGCCCCGAAACTGAACCTCTGAACCTCTGCACCTCTCGCTCGCTGCCTCTGCCCCTCTATATAGACCGCACTCTGCCTCTGCCTCTCTATATAGACCGATATATAGGCCATTGCTCTAACATTTTTACTTGTTATTTTGGGGCCATTTTCACACTTAGAGCGACCAGAGCAAGGCGGCTGCCCCTCATAAGACTCATTGACTTTTGGTCGACTGCACTTTGTCATCTGGTGGGCACTTTTCCTATTTTTCAACAATTACACGCCCCAGCCACACACTTGTTGTTGTTCTTCTGGTCGTTGTTGTTGTAGTTCTTGTTTAGCTATTGTTACTGGGTGTTTTTCGCTTATATGACTCGCCTTGCGTCCTGTGCTTTGCGCTTTTGATTGGTCGCAGCGACGGCAACGCAAACCCTCTGAATAATTTAAGGTCCATCTTCCCTCACAATTTTTCAGGGCAAAGGAGCAGCGTGGCACTCAAACAAAATTGTTAGTTTAGGGCGTTCAAGTCAATGGACAGTGGCAACAATTGCTGCGAAATAGAAAATAATTAAGAAATGTCAGATATTAAAAATTTGAGACCCCTTTAACAGCTACTAAAGCCTAGCGCAATCAGCATAGGAAAACAAGTCAAAAGCCCGCAGAGTAGAGAATATGCAAAACACTCGCTCTGCTAACCACTGTGCCTCATAAAGCAAAGTATTTGATGTTCGGATGCATGCAGGATGTGGCACAAGCTCACAGCTGGCGTCACAGCCGGCACGCTACGGTTCGGTTCGGTTGGGCTGCTGAGCTCGTTTTAGTTCAGGATTTTTTGCTAGGTGTTTGTTGGGCAACACTTCAGGCGCAGGCTGGCGACAGCAACAGCAACAGCTAAAGTATCGTCATCAGCGACAGAGGTCAACCGACATGTGCCCCTGTGCATGGCCCAGAACATGTGGGTTGCTATCCTTGTTGTGCAGATTCATAATTTATGAAGGTAAACAAACACTTTTGGTCGGAATAACCCAATTGGTTCGTGTGTTGCCTCAGCATTCTCCTCTGACCGGGCATTAAAGGATTTACCGTTTAAGGGGGCGTGGCAGAATTTGGCTGGCATGGCACAGGCAACCAGGCAGGAGGCAGCCAGACAGCTAGCACCGGCTCATCCAGCTTGAAACTTTCGCACATTCTCCAAATTAGCCAAGTGCACAGAGTGCACGGAGAGCACGAGTTCCAAAAAATGTTGTAATATTACAAAATTTATACAAAAAGCATCAGCAGCAGCAGCAACATCAGACAAACTTCATTTATTTGGCATAACGAGCTGCACTCAAACTTTTATGAAAGCGCATTGGGATTGCTGGCGAAAATCCCCACATCCTTTATGCTGCAGGTCCTTGAAATTGGATGAGCATTTGTTTGGCTGACAGCATCCACAAAATGTTGCCACTGCAAATGTGTTTATTAAACATTTGCTGGCAAGCTTTCAATTTCGTTAATGTTTTCAGCGCATTTTTCAAAGCTCTGCCAAGCCGAGCCACAAATTTATTGTTTTATTTTCTTTCTTTGCAGCTCTGCATATTGGTCAGCGAGCATTTGCCATTTGCCCAAACGCCGCTGTAAGCGGTTTCTCGCATTTAACAATGGTGCTCTACAGGGCAGCCAGAGGGTTAAGGAACTCTCAAGTGCGGCTCATGAATTATGGCGAAGTGGATTGGCAAGGGGGCATAACGGGCCAGAACGCTTGAAACTTTTGTATTGAAATGTGCGCACATCTGTTAATAATTTAAATTGCATCGGAAAAGCGATTCGTAAAAGAGCGTCTGCTAAAAGGCCATAATAATAACTTCTTCACAATACTATAAAATGGACCATTTGATTTAAAGCCAGAGACGCAGTTCAATGATCTCTTACTCCTCAGATACTGCAGTTGATATAGTGGCTAATCAACAGGCTTAAGGCCATTGAATCTATTTGGTATACAACCATCGTTTCAACGTTCAAATATATTGTTTTGTTTCCTTTCTGCTGCCGGCTCGTATGCTATCATGTATATCATATATCGATATATATGATATATCGATATTTTCTGCATATTCTGCGATACATATTTGACATCACTATATACGTAATACGAAAGTAAGTATCGGCTCTTAAAATGTTTTCTATCATTTTTTCCGTCACATGGTATCGATATATCTAAAGTAGTCGTGTCGTTAGTCTCGATATGTTCTCTATATATATTATGCTGGCAACTCTACCTCTAATTTAAGGTTAAGGCTGAACCACCTCAAATATGCCTATTGGCAGCAAGATGGTTTCAATATAATAATAATACATATACCAAAGCATAAATCCCGTTATGGAGCATTATGAGAAGCAGGAGAAGATAGGTGAAGGCAGCTACGGCGTTGTCTATAAGGCGCTGAATCGCTTGACCGGCCAGCTTGTCGCCCTAAAGAACATCAGACACAACGCTGGGGAGGAGGGCATGCCGTCGACGGCTATAAGAGAGATATCGCTGCTCAAGGAGCTGAAGCATCCCAACATAGTCAGGCTGCATGATGTCGTGATGGTGGACTCCAGCATATACTTGATACTCGAATACCTATCAATGGACCTGCGACAGTATATCAACACGCTGCCAGCCAACCAACTGATGGACCCGAATCTGCTGTCCAGTTACCTTTTCCAGGTGACCAGCGCAATACTCTACTGTCATCGGCGACGGGTGATGCATCGGGACCTGACTCCGCAAAATCTGCTGATCGATCAGTTTGGCCGAGTCAAGGTGGCTGACTTTGGTCTGGGCTGCTATTTCCAGGTGCCAATGCGCACGCTCACCCACGAGGTGGTCACACTCTGGTACCGGGCACCCGAGATCCTGATGGGTTGTCCACGCTACGCTTGTCCCGTGGACATCTGGTCCATTGGCTGCATCTTCTTTGAGATGGCAACGCGTAAGACCCTGTTCCAGGGCGACTCAGAGATAGATCAGCTCTTTCGCATATTCCGCATGTTGGGCACCCCAAATGAGGATTCCTGGCCGGGCGTATCCGCACTGCCCGACTACAAGAGCAGCTTTCCCAACTGGACAAACAATAAGATAGGCCAGCTGAGGGAAAGCCTGGGCTCTTTCGACTCGAGTGTCGACCTCTTGGCCAAGATAATCGTCTATGAGCCAGCGAGACGTTTGTCAGCTGAGCAAATTCTAGAACATAAGTATTTCAAGGAAAATGCCAACATCCTAAAGTCTCAAACTGTCAATAAAAGTTTTTAATATATTCGTGTGATATAAAAATCTTTCTTGTAGCACGCGCGTGCTAATCGGCTTTATTAAGGGATTTTTGTGCACGCGTGTAAAATTAATTTAATTATTTTCCGCTATGCTTAAACCTCATCTTCATCTTCGTCTTCTTCACAAAAGCGGGAAACTGAACCAAAGTTAAGAGGCTAGACTTTTGCTTGGATGCCCGAAGGGTCACAGAGCCCTCAAATTTGATCGGTGCACAGTGGGTCGAAGCAGTTGGAAAGCTGTGCTGGCACCTTGGTACACAGCACTGATTATACAACCAATTAATGCTTGCTCTTCGTTAAATATTATTTTTCAATTTTCTTTGAAGTATTTTCGTCCTTTAGCCTAGGCTATTTGTCCACTGTGCGATTGAGTCAGGCGTTAAGAAAAACAAACACAATGACTGAGTTTCATGGAGTGGAAATTATAATTGCCCTACAGCCATCGCTGAAGGTACTCAACACAAGTCAACTCAAGTCGAAGGTTGACTCATGGATGCCCTGCAAACAAGAATTCGTTACACAGAATTCACAGAATTCGTTAGTTTTTTTCAAAATAAAAAATAATATCTAAAATATTCAGATCAAATTGAATGATATCTGGACTGGAAAAAATAAGATAAAGTATTTTAGATAAATATTCTAAAACTATTTCAACTATAAATTTAAATTAAATAATGCCAAGCAATATGCCCCAATTATATGAAACTTAAAGGCTTCTTCGGGATTATTTCATTTGGTAAATTGACAGATTTTTAATCACACAATTTCATAGATGATGTGGATTTTAATAATGCTGCCTGAAGCGAATCCAATTAGACAAGCAGAAACAGACATCTTTGGCATATGACAGATTCAATTATATTGTTAACGCACATGCGTAAAGTTCAAGGACGAACGACATCTTAAGCTGAGGACAGAAATCGTAGGTCAGGACTGTGGGGGCGCAAATTAAATATTAAAAAATTTTGAGCTAGACATAAACGCACGGACACAGTCACAGTCGCAGTCGCAGTCAGAGCCACATATGGCCCCGGGCTATACTTACATGTCCCCAAGTTGAGGGCAGCCAGGAGCATAGGGAGCTGAGCCGTCAGCCAAATGCGTTGCCAACTCAACGTCTTGCTCGTGCGTACAAATTGGCGCCGCTGTCCAGCATCTTCGTCTGAGTCTAAGACTGTCATCTTTGCAGTTGTTAGCTTCCTTGTGCTGGTCCTGCTGCCGCGGCTGCTCGTCCTGGCAGTCCCACTGGCACGGTTGCTTGCAGCGATGACACTTAGAGCTTTTGTGCGCTCATTGCTCGGCGTCTGCCGGCATTGGGGACTCGTTTGCGGAACCATCGGCGGAGCATTGTCTCCAAGTGTTCTCCACGTTGCTGGCCTCTGATTCTGATTGCAGTGCGCCCCGTTGGCTGTCAAAGTTTTTCGCATTCTATGCGAAATGTGTGCGTCTATTCCCAGACGCTGGTGCTTGCCCGTCCCAGATAAATAGGTTTATTGAATTAATTCGCTGGGGTCGGGATACGCGCTCGTTGGCTTCCTTCCGTTGCTTTTCAGCAGATTGCAGCTTGCTTATATATATATATATATATATAAATTTTATTTTTATTTTTATATTTATTTTTTTGGATCTCTCTTGTGTCGTTCTTTGATTTTATTGCCACGCGCTTTCATTGCTTTTCCTATTGCTTCACCTTGTGCCAGTTACAGTAAAAATTCTTGGTCTATTCGTTGAAAGAAACTGCGCAAATTCAAAGGAAATATATATATATTTGATATATATATATATTTGATATATATAAGTCAATCATGTGATGATTCAATATAAATATGATTACGAATTTCGATTAGCTTTTATCTAGATTTTCTATTCGTATCTCATCTATTTTTATTTGTAATATATTTTTAGTCTTACTGCGCCCATAATTTTAGCTTCAACTTCTCTTAGATCGGCAAGCTATCATGCAAATTTTTCAAATTACCAGCCAATTGGGAGAACTTGGATGTCTTCTTTCGATATATATTCACGTAGCATATGCCAAACTAGCGCGAACGTTACTTTGCCATGAGTTATGTTGAAAGTTTTTCACAAAAGAGATTTGGGAACTTGCGGCACACTTACACTGTTGAACAAGTTTTCAGCTTTGCACCAGAGTCTATGCGTCGCTTGATAAATTGTATTTTTAATGTTTCATTTCTTCACTGGACTTAGCACGTGAGGCAAGTTATTTACAGTTGAGCTCCACTTTATGGCTTAAGCCGCGTTGAAAATATTATTCAAGTTTTTATTCTGTGCCTTTTTATAATACACAATAATCCCTTTTTACGACATTGCGGCCGCAGCAGCAGCGCAGCTCCTCTTTTTTTTTTGTTGCTCTTTGGCTCGTCCTTTGCACATTTAGTTGCCCATTCTAATATACATTTTAATACAACAGAACAGAACAACAAACAAATTTGGAAAGTGATTTCGGCACTTGCTTAGCCAACGTGCTGACTCAGCCAAGACACTTGGGACGCTCACAGACACACACTCACACACACTCACACACACACACACCTACACACACATATCTCAGTTCGTTCCTTAAAATAGCTCTGCAACTGCCAATCCCTTGCGCCTTGCACCTATTTGTGGCACACTTAGCCGCCTCAGCTCGCATCTAAACAAAAGCACTTGGCCAGACGTTGGCGCCTCGCACGAGTTGCGACCGACGAGTTTCGAGACATCCGCTTTGGATCTGAGCGTTTGGCCTGTCACGTCCGCTCGCAAAGGATGCAAATTTTCAACTGAATCGCGTGCAGCCAGCGGCAGGAAACTCGTGCTGCCCCGCTGCGCCTGTTATCTGTTAGTTGGCTCCATGTTCCAGTTCCCAGCATCCGCAATACGCTTGCTTTTGCCCCTGTTCCATTCCATTTTCCGCACGTTCCGGCTGCTGTTAACGTTTCTCCTTTACACTTGTGCCGGCTATACGCCCTGCGCATGTCCTTCGCCCTTAACCATGGCCAAATGTGAAGCTTACAATAGATTTCAAATTTATTTACTCAATGCTTAGCTGCTCAGTGAGCCAACAGTAAATTAAACAAATGTTTGACGAAAGTTAATATAACTATATTTGAGCAGAAAATATAGTCACAAAATATTATGCATGAAGCGAGGAAAGGGAAATGACAGAGTTTTGGAAAACTTTTTCTTGTTTCATAGTTCAAACAGCCAAGGAATTATTGGAATATTAAAATCTTCAAGTCATAAAATTTCCAACATATTTTTAAAAAAATATTTAATTTCAAAGTTTTGAATGCTTTCAAAATTAACCCTATAAACTTTGACTTTTGATTTGAAGTCTTATTAAGCTAAGATAATTTTCTTCTTTAGAAACATTTATAGAAAAGTTATAAATACTGGAAAAAATATATATAATATATGAAATACAAAAATATTAAATATATATAGCGAAGATCTTTGACTCCTACTGCACTTTCAGTTGCACTTTAACAATGTCGGACTTAAATCAAGTTCAAGCTCAACAGATTAGTTTCGGCCATGGCTATTCGTTGTGCAGCGTATCGATGCTACATATATATTTTTTAAGCTTTTGCTATTGGGTTCAACAAATTGTCGCACTCTAAATCAAAGCCAGACCTCTTTGGACTGGCGCCTTAAATTAACTTAACATTTTGGGCCTTTGAATTCTTTGTCTGCTCGTTTAATTTACTGCTAGTCCGGTCACAAGGAGGCTGATGTCTCTCTGTCCCTATCTGTGTGTGTGACAATAAAACTACGCAACGCCATTAAATCTGACCCAATATGCGAGAGGCGTGATATATAGGGCTCTGGTCTTAATCTTGTGTGCTTTTGTCAAAGAGCAAGTAACAAATAAATAAATATTATTGAACTTTTCAAGTCCCCAGGGAACGCGGGCGAGGCCGCAGCACAGCTGGATAAAAGGTATGGCGGCGCCCGTGGAGGGGCTGCATGGTGGCGATCTGCTGGAATTTGTGCGCTCTCACAAAGTGCCAACATAAATTCTTGCACAGTTCAATTTATCGTGTATTGACACAGCTTCCGCATAAAAAGCAACAACAATAGCAGTAACAGCAGCTAGTAAAAATGTTTACAAAGTGCGGGCGGAAAACTGGTAACGGATGCTCATGCAAAGGCTACAGGAATGTTACCCACACACGCACCCACACATAGACAGACAAATACTGATAGCGGGGAGCCTATTGTTATTACCTCTTTGTTGTGTTAACACGCCATTTGTGGCATTTGCAGTCGTTGCCACGCCTCAAGATGCTGGGCCAGCAACGCAGTTAAACTCGAATGAATTTGAAATGCAAATGATGGCACTTCCCTCCTGCGCTCGTTGTCCGAGCCGATGCCACAGCCAAAGCCAAAGGCCTGCTTCAAATGTTTCAACTTTTGGCTCAGCAAATCATCAAAATATACTTTATGTAGCACAGCCGTCTAACTGTGTGCAAAGCTCATGAATTCGAAGGACGAGCCCCGCCGCTCAACACATGTTGTCACACAAGCCCCACACTCGAGCCCAGTTCACAGCTGTTAATTTGAGTGTTTCGCATTATGTGCCCGGCTCGTAAATTCGAAATGTTTATGACACAAAATAACAACTACATTTTTATAAATACACTTTAAAAATTCATGCTTAATTCGTGCTGCTTATAAATCGGATTGCCAACGTCTGTGGGTATTGATATAACAAGATTAACAAGTGCTGAGCCTCGTCCTCGGCCAACTTATACAATACTTACAGTGTAGCCTAGAAATTCAAATATTAGAGTTGATGGAATGCGTTTGCCATTGCACACAGAACTCTGCAGAGTTGGAGGAACCACACTTAATTGGAAGAGGTAATTTTTTCGATTTTTGCCAACAGGTATAAATAAAACATTGTCAAATGGTAAATCTTATAGATTACTTAAGCAAACATTACTTATACAACATAATCGGAAATAGTATCACTCTTGTTCGGTCAACAACCGTAGCTTTTATATATTATATAAGAATTAAGATTAAATATAGAAAATCTATCAATCTATAATATAATAAATAAATTGTGCCTAATGGCTAGGTCAGTAACACCTTCTACAAAGAGTGAGAGAGAGAGAGAGAGGAAGAGATAGAGAGATAGACAATAGTAGCTAACAGCAAGTGTTACTTGATGAATTAAATATAAACTATAGAAAGCTTTAGAAGATCAACCTGTTCTACATGCAGACGATTCCTCATGCACAGCTTAAAGGAATAAAAAGTAAATAATACACATATCGTTAAGATATGCACGCACGAATAGCTGCAATTACGCAGGTACTTTCGCAGGTGCTTCCTTGCAGCAAGTGAACGGCAAATGTAAATGTAATCCAAATGTTTATGCCCGTATCTTTATATATACTTTCTATTGCAGCTTTTCACTTACATTTTCTGCAGAATAAGAATTGCAGATGTGCTTCAATGCAGCCAATCTGTGTGAAGGCAACTCAGTCGATGGCTGAGTGCACAGCTGCCTGAGTGAGTGCATTGTGCGGCGCACAGCACGAGCTTGTCAAACGGCAGAGGCAGAGCAATAAAAGAGAAAGTTAGATAGGGAGGCAGACAGAGCGAGCGAGCGAGAGAAGGATACGATTTTCATTGAGAAAAGCGAACTGACTGTTAAGCAAAATGGATGAGCGGTGCAATTAAAAGCAAACAAAACGCGTAATCGAATGCCATTCAAATGGCAATTGACAATTGCGTTGCAAATGCCGCAACACTTTAGAGTCTGTCGGGTCGCAATCCTTTGTAGACTTTTGTTGTGTGATTTTTGCTGTTTGCTCTCTCTCTCTCTCTCCCTCTCTTTGTGCTGTTTGGTTGGCAGTCTGCTTTGTGCACGTCCTTCGCACAGCGAAATAGGTTAACGGCAAGTATGGGAATTAACGGCAAATATAATTACAGCGCCTTTCTCTGCACTTCTCACAACTAATGGATACCCTGTTATTGGCCGTGTCCCTTATGCCCTTCGTGTGTCTAATTAGTGCAAATTGCCACTCATAATCATAACTGTAAAATTAATATAAATTCTGTATAACGGCTGCAACACGCACTCTTTAATTGCCACCAACCCACCTCACCTCACCTCCTCCTTACCCTCACCCACTTCTGTGTGGGCAGCCGCAAGTTGTAGTGCCGCGTGTCGAAATTAATTGCCCTTTGCGCTAAAATTTACGTGACAAATTGGAGTCAATTTGTTTAAGATTTGATTTGACTTGAGTAGTAGTGCTCCAGAAGTACACTTCAAGTGGGCAAACTGATGACAGCTCGACATTTTACGACCCATCTGTTGACAGCATTCATCTGCGCATTCGGACAAAGACTCGAAGTGACCTTTGCTGCTAATTAAATCTGTTACAAGCCACATTCCAGCCACAATCTCTGCGTAATACGTATACAGTAAATAATCTACTTAATGTCGCCCTCGAATATCCACTTTGTTGCGCACCAGGCGGCAAAATAAAAGGCCGTAGCTACCGAAAAAAAAGAACAAGAGAGAAAAAGCAAATTTGAT